TTTTCAGGTCGCATATATTATCGAATCCAGTATATTATTTTCATTGTTTTTATCCAGTATATTTTTTTTACTATTAGTAAAAATGTCTAAACTGCTAATAATTTGTTAGATAAGCAACTTCGTGAAAGATAACTTTGACAACCAAACATTAACATGGGCTACAACTGCGATAGAGAAGCGTAAAGCTGAACTGTAAAACAATGAAAGAGAAAGAATTATAAAATTCAAAGAATCTGCAAGTAGCAACGAGCATGTGACGTGCATATGCTTTTAGTTGTGTGTACTGTTAGTAACCATAATTTGTATAGATGCTTGTAAATTTAATTAAGAGAAAAATATTCGCATATTTACGACAATAAGCTATGTGATATTTTAATGCAGTTTTTTACGCAATTTTATGTTTCTAAGATTACAAGTGTACTTTGCGCAATGCTTCAGTGCCTTTNAAAGATATAATGAAAGTATATAAATTTGCATATAATAAATTATACATGTATATGTGTTTATAATGCTTCTCTGCGTATGAAGTTTACTGATACAGACCGTAGTTGAAGAAGCACTCTTGCTGTTATTCAAACTTATATTGTGCATACGTAATTGTTTCAAATAAATATAACATCAATAATAATGTAACACGTGATGTCTTTCTTGATAGACTGACCTTAGACATTCTGTCACACACTTTCTCCTCCTCCTTCTTTCTCTTCTAAGAAATTACAAGTTNAAGGAGATAGATGAAAAATACGATTGCTTTGAGATTTTTTTGTATTTATCAAATTATTTAAAAGTTACAAAATTTACATTGGCATCTTGACGCAAGTCACTCCTTGATGTAAATAATATTGAAAATAATTATACCATTTCATAAAGAAATGGTATATAGATTTCAAATGGCTGCGTTCAGTAGAACAAGCTTGATCCAGTGAGTGCGAGGGCTGCAAGCGGGAAAATCNACTGCTTTGACCAAAACGTAAAAACCAATCAAATCAATAATGTGTAGAGTGTACAAGTACTTGTATAATAAAGATATCATATGCATGTAATAATTATAAATAAAGTATGAAATACTTTACAATTATGTGTGTGTGTGTGTGTGTGTTATACTCAACAGCAAAATCATCAAACGACATCCGAACGAAAGTTGAATTCCGCGGCTGTATGTGTGATTTCGTTTGAGTGGTGATAACACTACTTNGAATGCGATCAAAATCTTACTACAAATGTTTTGAAGCATCGTTTTATTTTCATTCTACNTTAAATGTAGAATAAAGACAGAACGATGTTTTGACACATTTGTACTGAAACTGCGACCGCATCTTTTGTTGTCGATAACGCGTCGTATTACGAAACGACGTTCTATATCATGGGGAGGGTTAAATAGTTGTTTTACTGTCAGTATTCGGGATATCTTCTCTTCATTTGCACGATATGGCTGCTCTTTCTATTGAAGGAGATGCGGGAAGTACATCGCACACGATAAATAAATATCGTCTACCGGATAGCGTGCTGCCGACACATTATAATATAAAATTCATATTGCACATCAACGATGATAATTCCAGCTTCGACGGTGAATCCAGTATCATTGTTCAGATCCGTCGGCCGACAAATAATTTATATTTACATGCGATGAATTTGACAATCGATGAAACTGCGACAAAAATTGTTGACAGCAATGG